AAAAAAAAAAAAAAAAAAAAAAAAAAAAAAAAAAAAAAAAAAAAAAAAAGAAAACAAGACAAGGAAAACGAAATTAAGGCAATCGTTGTCGAAACAATTAATAGAAAGGAACAATTTGTGAAACGCCGCCTGTTTTGAAAACGAAAAACGACAAAAAAAAAAAAAAGTAACATGTGAAACCCACGTGATTCCACTTCCCCAAGGCTGCTGCGTTTGGGCCTTTCCCAACGCATGGTTCAATGGATATTTTTGGGCCGTTCTTCCAACTGGCCCAACTTGTCCTCATCTTAATATTATTATTTTAGCCAAATTGACTTTGACTTGATTTCGACACTATTATGTCATTTTCCATTTTTATCCCTATAAATCTCAATATTTTCCATATTTTTACAAATAATTATCCCTAGAATTATCTACTTTCACTTTATTTATTTTTTTTTATTTTTTTTTTGTTATTAAGGAAATCTTAATTTTAGAATTATTCATTTTTAAATTATCGAGAATTATCTATTAATAATCCCTTATAGTTCTTTTATGATTTATAGAATTTAATACGATTTTTAATAAATAATTTAATAATTTATTATGAATTAATTTATAATACTAAGTTAATTAAATACAAATAAATATATATATAGAGAGAGAGAGAAAGAGAGAGACGGGAAAGTGACATACTATATAGGACCCGTGAGATATCATATTGTGGGTTGTGTCTGAATGCGTTGAACAAGACTTCTTATGGTAATTTTATAACATCATAAACATTTCAAATTTAAAAAAAAAAAAAAAAAACAGACAATCAATAAATAGCGACATTGATCTTTTCTTTTAACGTACTAAAAAATTGCATTAGTATTAAGCTATCAACTTAAAGTGTTCGAGAGGCAGCCAGTACTGTTCATTTGGCAATAAATGGTGTATTTGTTTGGATGACACGGAACCCTGATGTGGGGCGCTACCTAGACAATGATATGTCTAAGTCAGTCTCGTCAATTTGACAAAATAACTATTATTTTGCTTCACAAATGTCTCGTAATTTGACACGGAATTCTTTATGCACTGGCTTCACTTTAAGCATAGCTCAATGGTAACTGATATTTACTCGTTTTCTAGAGATTGGAGGCTAAAATCTCGTACTGTCACACTGTTTCTTTTCAATGGGATTTTCTAGTTATCTTGTTATTTTGTTTTTACTCGTTCACGGGAGTGAGCCAACCCGAGAAACTTACGAAAAAAAAAATCCATATAATTATCATAGGAAAAAAAACTATTAAAAAAATGACATAATCATTCAAAATAATGTCTACGTCACACATTAACTTCATACCATTGGGGACATTTTTAAATGTGCTTGCCACCTGTCCAGCATTCTACGGTGAGCTTTGCTGGGGGACCACGATATCCGATGACGGCATAATCAGAGAAGGACACGTGGAGATTAGACACTCAGTGTTGTTAACGCTGTTATATTGTGGGGTTAAGAATAATTACGCGGGAATTTACGTGGCCGTATTGTGGAGAAACACGTGTTGCGAAATGTACACGTAGTCCGCGTGGAGCCGCCACATTCAGACCGCGCCGGTTTCGTGTGGCTGTGGGCCTGGACTTTTGGCGAATCGTAAGAAACACGTGTCGGATTAGATAAGATCAACGGCCATGATTGAGTTGATTTTTAGGTTTTTTTTTTTAAAGAAAATTTGAGATTGAATTAGATATTTTTTGCTAAATTGTAATATACTTGACGTAAATTTATTACTTTTTTTTACCTTAAAATTATTCGTTTAATTTCGTAACATATTGTGGAGATCGGATTTTGTAAAAATATTTTCACATAATTATATAAAATATATCGTTAGTTATTCTCACGACACAAATGACTTCCTTATTCTCATCTTCACCGTCCATCTTACTTATCATTCTATCATAAATTATTTATTTACAAAATTAATTATTTAAAAAAAAATAAAAATTTTAAAATATCATAAGAAAAATAATATAATATTTAAAATTAAATGACTTATTTATTCTCGTATAACTTTAAATGATCGACAAATACAACGCGAAAAATTGGGTAAAAATCAGAGATGATGACAAAAAATATGTTTCTTGTCTGTCTTAGTGACAGTTTATTTATATATTATACGAGAAAAATGGGTAAAAACCAGAGATGATGACAAAAAATATGTTTCTTGTCTGTCTTAGTGTCAGAGTTTATTTATATATTATACGAAAAAAATGGGTAAAGACTAGAGACGATAACAAGAAATATGTTTCTTATTTATCTTAGTGTCCGAGTTTATTTATATATTATACGAGAAAAAATGGGTAAAAACCAAAGATGATGACGAAAAATATGTTTCTTGTCTGCCTTAGTGTCAGTAAATTGGACGTAAATTGTTAGTACTATATTTTAAAAATATTGCCTTTTTTTTTTTATCGTTTATATTGTTACAATGGTATAATAAGTTTTCATGGTTCTGCTCTGTGCTTCTCTAAAATACCTCATACTCCCTAAAACATCTAATACTAATTAAGATATTATTCCTCATTTATAAAACTATGATATTCCACTAAATTAATCAATGTGAGATTCACTCCCAATAATATTCAACAAATTATCGATCTCTAATAAAATATATAAAATAAATTTATTGCACGTTTTGAAAGTTTATTAATATTTTTGATGCTAGAGCAAGTAGTTTTTAAAATATATTTTTATTATCTTCCGTTTAATACTTTAGAATTTTCATTTATTCTTGGAAATAAAAAATGGTGGAGGCACGTGAGTTAGAGAGCGAGGTTCCTCCGATCGCCTATATAGATGGCCGAAGAACGCTGAATCAGTCTAATCAAGATGAACTGATCATCATTTTTTTACCATCTCAATCAGTTCCACGATTTATGTCTAGTTGTTCTTCTTTTTGCTACCGTTTTCGATCGTACCTTCTCTGTTTCCGTTCGTTCTCGAAGATCCAAGGCATTGAAGTAAGTTTCTGGTTGCTCCTTTTCGTGCTTCGTTTTCTTTCTGAACAAATGTTCACTTTCCATTAATGTGTTTTATTATGTGGTTTCTGAATTTGGTAAAGGCGGAATCGATTTTATGGCCATTTCAGATTCTTCATTTTCTGCTCATTTCATTGGTCGATTGTGAACTTTTGCCTTCAGTGGATTATTGTCTGTTATTCTGGTTGATGATGATGAAGGAGGGTTTCCATTTTCACTAAAATTCGGGTGTTTTGAATTCCTTGAGAGTGTTTCGTGGAATGTTATGAAGATTTTTGTTCTTGGATTTTTTAGATTGTTGAAATTTCTCCAGGTCGTTCACTATCACTATAACTGTGAAGATTTTGAAATTGGAACTTCAGCTGTAGGGTTTATTGTTACAGAAATCCGTTCTTGAATGGTAGCTTCCGACCTGTGGATCATGATTCATGTAATTTCATATGATTTAATGGAACAAAACGAATCCTCTTCTGTTTTCCTTCAGATTCTGCCTTTAAAAATCTCTATTTCTTCGTCTAGTTCATATTTTGGTTGTTGAATTTTCATTAATCAGTTGCATAGTTCCTTTTCATTCCCGATGATTTATTCCTGAAATTTGTTCTTCATTACGTGGTAGTGAAAGGTTCTTAGTTTTTTGGTAACTTGTTTCAGGTCTGATATGAGGAAAGGCTTGCTTGCAACCTCTTAATCATTGTGTATTTCCGATTAGTCTGCTAGTTTTTCTCCGCTTGTACTGACTGAGCTTGAGAAGTTCACTTCAACCACGATGGGCCTCTCCAGTCTTCCAGCTCCATCTGAAGGAGTCCTAAACGCAATTCTCATAAATGCTGCACTGTCCATTTCCATCTTCAAATGCATTGTTCGTTTGATCCTTCACATTGTAGGAATCCGCTTCTCATCGCCATCATCCTTAGTCCCATCTACAGATTCCTTTGAAAATTCCTCAGAGTTGGGAGATTCCAACTTTGGCTCCTCTTGGAGTTACCTCGAGATGTTTCGTAACCGATATCCAAATATTAGGTTTGATAAAGTACAGGGCTCCGAACGTCTCGAACACGACTGCTCGGTCTGTTTAACTCAATTTGAACCTGAATCAGAGATAAATCACTTATCTTGTGGCCATCTTTTTCACACAGAATGCTTGGAGAAGTGGTTGGATTACTGGAACATCACATGTCCTCTTTGCAGAACTCCTCTAATGTCAGAAGAAGAGAAATCGTGCTTTTGGTGAGCGTTTAGTGTGCTAGAATCTAGTTAGGGGAAACTCATGTACAGCATACTCTTGAACGCGTTTCCTACCTTATTCGAGTATGATATTTTAAGTTTGGTGTGTCTTACTGGTCTTAGAGACCAAAGTTTTGTCACTGTAAATATATGTTTATGAAGTTTTGCTTCTGGCTTGTGCCTTTAGCTTTGAGTTAATGCACTGTTTCTTCACTGTCTTTGTATATGGAATTGAATGAGTATGCAAAAGGTTTTTCAAGTCCTGTTTGTTGGATATTGGGATTGGCAGTATGAGCAGCCATTTCTTAGAATTATTGTGTTCGGTGATGCTGGCGATTGTAACTTTCTCTCCCCCTTTGCATTGTGTAAACAATCGTTAAGCTTTGTAAAACTGTAATTAGAGCTGTTTGATCGAAATCAAGCAGGTCCATCCATGAGTTTTGATTATTTTCCATCCTTCTTTTGGCCACCATGGGAAGTCCACCATGATAATGAAGGTCATATGCTTCTTTCTAGCTGCCAGTTACCAACAAGTCTTCTTCCTTTATTCTTCCATGTAAAGTAAAGTAATTCAAGAGGTATCAGTTAAGTGTTAACATGATCAAATGAATATCTAATAGAGGAGTTGAAAAAAAGAGAAAACTTTTTGATTTGGCTTTGTGTTCTTGTTCAGTTGATTCTTCTGTCAGCTGCTGCTTGTTCTTTGTAATCTTGTGCTCGTTGGTCGTCGGGTACTACTTACAGATGATTGGCACGTAGTAACCAGTTTATAAGGATGTAAAAATCTCTCCTTAGTAGATGTGTTGTAAAATCTTGAAAGGAAGTTCGAAAGAGAAAACCCAAAGAAGACAATATCTGCTAACGATGTGATTGGACTGTTAAGAGTATCAGAGATACCGGGCGGTGTGCCAGCAAAGACGCTGACTCCTAAGGGTGTGGGGTGTGGGTGTGGGAGATCCCAAATTAGTTGGAGAAAGAAACAGATACCACGCGGTGTGCCAGCAAGGATGCTGGCTCCCTAAGGGTGTGGGGTGTGCCAGCAAGGATGCTGGCTCCCTAAGGGTGTGGGAAATCCCAGATTGGTTGAAGAAAGAAACAGATACCAAAGGTGTGGGAGATCCCAGATTGGTTGGAGAAAGAAACAGATATCAAAGGTGTGGGAGATCCCTGATTGGTTGGAGAAAGAAACAGAACCTTTCTTAAAAGGTGCAAAATTTTTTACCTAACACGTTTTAAAACATTGAATGTAACTTTGAAAGGGAAAAGCCTTTACCAACCCAGAAATTTTCTGTCCTTGATAAAAGCATCTAAAGAACATCTCAAAAACGATAAACACTGGTTTTTGCACTGACATTCAAACTTTCTATTTGAACTTTGCTGCTGTAATGATACAATGACTTATTGCCCGAGCCACAGAGAGAGATGGGTATGTATTTCTCCAAAAGGTCAATTGTTGAAGATAAGATTTTGTTTTCACTGGTCTTAGAAGGAAAACATACAGTAAAAACCCATGCTTTAAGATGAATTTGGCTGAAAACTGAGGAAAGATTGACTGTTCTTTTGTTTTGACGGTGAACAGGAACTGAAGAGCATAAAATTGTTCAAACCCAGATCTTTTTACAGAAAATGGTGGGAGATTTTGCCTAAACTTCGTTCTATTACCATTGCCCTTTATCCCAAATCGCGAAGGTAATTGGTTTTTAGGTTCATCTAGTATGGAGGATAAAACTTTAGACTCGTGTACGACCCTTGTTACTCGTGCTAAAGAAGGCGCCAAGTGAGCGACAAAAGCGAAAATCCTATCGGCTCAGGTTCGCTCCTCTTTCACGACTGTCCTCACGTGTATTTCCCTTCGTTATCCAAAGTAGTAGAGCTCAAGGCTTTTCGCTTTTTTCAAATTCGCTCTCTATGATGGAACTGCCAGTTCCATTTCACCAATTTTGTCTAACCCTTCATGGGTTCTCCATTTCTCTACCTCTGTGCCTCTGAACTCTATCATCAACCTCTGTTCATGGCTGTTCCTGAAGCTTGTTCGTGGCCTAACCATCTTGTATTGCACCGCCGCTTGCGTTTCTCTGGCCCTTGGCAACTATGCGCCGACAAGTTTCTATCGCTATCTCCGTAAGTTTCCAGCATGAAAAACATCTCGCATTCTTCGTTGTCTGTATGAGTTTTTTTGAGGGTTTTTCTTGCTTTTTCAAACACGACATCGGTCAGCATTTTGGTTTTTGGTCTGTATGAGTTCGAGTTTTCTCGTGTGGTGTTAATGGGTTAATCTGTATTGTGTTCAATAGCTGTTTTAATCTTTATTGTACGTCATTCCAGAAGAGAGGTCTTAATTGGTTCATTGTTCTTCAAGGGTGTTTCATGAAGCAGGCTGGTTTCATGGATAGTTTCTAGTTTAAGGCCTGCGATAATGAATTCCTAGCCATTATACTTTGCATGTATTCAGATCATTCTCTTGCATGATTGTAAGAATTGTAGACTGTCTCTTGCCCGTCTTTGAGTGAGTTTGAAATGGCTTTTAAGAGTACATTTTAAGTCTAAACAATAAATTATGAAGCGTGTGAAAAGTACTTTTGAGCTATTCAAAAACTTAGGTGATTCCTCTGTAAAACCTACAATGTGAAAGCAGGTATATTTGCCGGCACATGCCTGTTGAAAAGATGAGATTTCGTCTCTGCACAGGGCAGAATCATTATGTTGGAGGGTCGCCTATAATGTCGACTCAAAAAGGTAAGCAGTTGTTCATTTTTAATTTGATGATCAATTTTTGCTTGGATATGAGTATATTTCTGAAAGTCTCAGTGCAAAATTTGCTGCTCTTATGACGAAGTAAAGATGACATATACCTTTGATCACGTTGTTTCTTGACCGACACTTAATATCTTAATGACTGAAAAAGGTTTCAAGGTTTCATATCAGATTTAGTTTAGTTCTATCTAGTTCTTGTCTTGTTTGATACTCTGATTGCGATGTAACATGCGTTACATTTGAGGACTATTTCTTAAAATGATGTCTTGGTGCTTATGGGTTATTGTAACAACCCAAACACACCGCTAGCAGATATTGTTCTCTTTAGGCTTTTCCTTTCGGGCTTCCTCTCAAGGTTTTTAAAACGCGTATGCTAGGGAGAGATTTCCACACCATTATAAAGAATGTTTTGTTCTCCTCCCTAACCGATGTGGTATCTCACAATCTACCCCCTTCAGAGCTCAACGTTCTCACTGGTATTTGTTCCCTTCTGCAATCGATGTGGGACCCCCAATCCACCCCCTTCGAGTCTAGTGTCCTTGCTGACATACCGCCTCATGTCTTCCCCTTCGGAGCTCAGCCTCCTCGCTGGCACATTGCTCGGTGTCTGGCTTTGATACCATTTGTAACAGTCCAAGTCCACCGCTAAAGCTCGAAAGGAAAAGCTTAAAGAGGACAATATCTGCTAGCGGTGGGCTTGGGCCGTTACAGTTAGTCTCTGTCTTTTTTGAAGCTTGAAAGTTTTCCTTGTATGTAGAGCTCCGACTGCAGAAAGTAGAGCTCCAACTGCAGAAAAATGAACATATAGTTGAATATGCATCTAAGTTTCAACTTGCAAGTCTTATTGTCAATTGGGATATAATTAGGTTGCTGTTGACAGTCATTTAGCTAATATTGCAAATTTGAAATTAACCACTTCAGGACCGTGGACCGTGCCCCATGCAATGAGGCAGACGTACTCTTCCTATATCTTCTCATAAATATGATATTCTTGCTCTCCTTTCATGTCACTACTTATTGCTTAGAATTGCTGATAAACCCTCAATTGCTTCTGAAGGAGTATGTAAAGTAGTTTGGACTATTGAAGCTGATTTGGAAGCCGATCAACTTCTTTACTTAACTGGGGACCCTATCGCATTAGGCTCGTGGGAACCAAATATGGCGATACAAATGTCTCATGTGGATCATTCTAACTTATGGAAGGCTGAAGTCAAGGTGATGACCGAAGCCACGGTGTATTGTATATTACACTATTATTTTGTTTCATTTCAAAGTCCCCTCTTTACATTCTTGGCAGATAGCTCGTGGCATAAATTTCAAGTACAATTATTTTATCAAGGAAGAATCATTGCCTTCATCTGTCATCTGGAGAACTGGACCTGAGTTCTCTCTATGCCTACCTCAAACTGTCGAACATAATAAACAAATTGTGGTGAGGGATTCATGGATGAGGTTTGCTATTACACGCCCTTCAGTTTTCACATGGGATTCATGGATAGAGGAACTGCCATCGAAATCTTTTCCAGCAGAAGGTAATATCTCATTTTGATTTCCATCTTCAAGCAAATTCCTCTCTTAAAATGCTTCTGAACACTTAAATGCTTCCAGTGATTTGACAGATGAATGTGTATTTGAAGAAGAATGTATTGAGAATGATTCTATTGAGCCCAACATAAATTTAAATGGTACCGTGATATATGATAAATTATACTCTGATCATGAGGAACTGATGGATTCTACAAGTCAGAGCTCGGAATCTCATAGACATCAACCTATTGAGGAACCGTGGTTAATTCAGCTACCCCTCTTTTTTGATCCATCTAAGAATGTGTTGGAATTGGGACCCGATCTGCTGAAAGAAGAGACGACACTACTAGAAACTCGAGATCACCTATTGGAAGATGCAGCGAATCTGCTGCCTGCAGCTGGGGTTGATACAACGTTGGACCCTTTTTCTACCGTCATACTGATTAATTCATCAATATGCACCATGCAGCGGATTGCTGTGTTGGAGGAAGGAAAATTGGTAGAGCTGCTACTGGAACCGGTTAAAAGCAATGTCCAGTGTGATAGTGTGTATTTAGGGGTTGTCTCAAAACTTGTTCCTCACATGGGTGGTGCATTTGTAAATATTGGAAACACTAGACCTTCTCTAATGGACATTAAGCAAAACAGAGAGCCTTTCATCTTCCCTCCTTTTCGTCAAAGGATAAATAAACGAGTGGTCAATGGCTCCATACAAGGACAACTAACATCACAAGATGAAAGTATATTGACTAATACAAAAACCGATGGTGTTGATGACCACGAGGACAATGAAGTTGAGGATGGCTTTGATGTTTCAGAGGTTCTTAGAGAAAATGTGAATGGGAGCGTTGTAGATGATGACGGTGATCTAGATGCCGACTTTGAAGACTGCGTAGATGATAAGGTACATCAAGACGGCAATGCTAGCAACAGTTATTCAGCTACTGCAAATTATTCCCATGGTTCTCAATCGTCTCTTCTCCAAGATGAAAAGGATTCTAAGCAGACAGTGACCGCTGAAAATAAATGGTTCCAAGTTCGGAAAGGCACCAAAATAATAGTGCAGGTTGTCAAAGAGGGGCTAGGGACTAAAGGTCCGACACTGACTGCTTACCCACAGCTAAGAAGCCGATTTTGGGTATGTTCCTCAAGATTTGTGCTTCAAGCATGAACTACTATTTATTTTAGTATATATTTTTTTCTTAACATCATCATATCAAACATTTTTCTAGGTGTGCTCTGAACCAAGTTCCTTGGCTTGCAGATATTGTTAACTCGTTGTGGTAGAATTGGCATCTCCAAGAAAATTTCTGGTGTCGAGCGTACGCGCTTAAGAGTTATAGCTAAAACCTTGCAGCCTCAAGGTTTTGGTTTGACTGTAAGAACAGTTGCTGCTGGTCATTCTTTAGAAGAATTAAGAAAAGATTTGGAGGGTCTGATTTCAACATGGAAAACTATAACAGAACATGCAAAATTAGCTGCTCTAGCTGCAGATGAAGGCGTTGAGGGAGCAGTTCCTGTAATTCTCCATAGGGCTATGGGACAAACACTTTCAGTTGTTCAAGATTATTTTAATGAGAAGGTGGTTCTATGATTTATTATAATTCACTATGTTGTGCCATTACTTAAACTACAGGATTATAGCTGAACAACCAACCAACATTCCTGTCCTGTTTTTTTTTTTTTTTTTTTTTTTAATTAATTTTCAGGTTAAGAGGATGGTAGTCGACTCTCCAAGGACGTATCACGAGGTACATTTTGATTTCAGCACTAGGTGATGTTGTATTTAACAAATGGAGTTCGTTGTGTGAACGTGCACTAAGATAGTACTGCAGAACTTTTCAGAAGACTGCTTCTTTCGAACTAGAAATATTTCTTCCCTTTCTCAGCGTCTTCAATTTTTTTTTTTTTTTTTAAATAATTGATCTTAGCCTTCTGAATATAGTATTAAATGAGATAGATAAATCCATGTCTAATTATCCCATGACGATGAACACGCGTAATAAAGTGATTGTACTTCATGATCAGCTATTGTTAATTATAAATTATGCAGATGGTTTGCATCTGAATGTTTATTTATCAACATGCGTAATTTTTTTGTGCTGTCATCGTGTTCCTAAATGTGCGAACCATTGTACATTGTTTTTCCAGGTCACTAATTACCTTCAGGAAATTGCTCCAGATCTATGTGATCGAGTCGAGTTATTTAAGGAAAGAATACCTCTTTTTGATAAATTCAATATTGAAGAGGAAATCAATAGTATGCTCAGTAAAAGGTGAGTTTTGTAAGCCTTGCTTATGTAACCAGTTAATATATGCAATCGATCACTACTCATGCAGCCTGTGTCAATCTCTCTTGCTTATCCTAATCTCCATATGTTTATATTTAATAGAGAAGAAACATAATCTTTAATGCAAGTTTAAAAAATTCAAGATGAGCCTTACAGTTCCATATGATCAAATAGATACCTTCTATGGTCTGGCTTCAAGCCATCAAATTATGAACTTAATGACTTAAAACTCTTGTATCTTTGGAACCTGGTTTGCTTGTGTTATGGGGGGCGAAGTATCCTTAGAGATGGGCTCCCACGACCTTGATTATCCAAATAAAAAAAAGATAATGAAAAAAGTATCAGGAGAAAGAGAAGACCTCCATTTTGAATAATAACCTGTCTATTTTAATCTCCATTCATCTGCCCAGGTTGATTAATGGTCCTTGAAACTGGAAGATGATGTATCTTCCTCGTAGGACACCAACTGTTGAGAATGTGAGTCGTAGTGTAACAGTCCAAGTCCAGCGCTAGCAGATATTAACCTCTTTGGGTTTTTCCTTTCAGGCTTACCCTTAAGGTTTTTAAAATACGTCAGTGAGGATGTTGGACCCCGAAGATGGGTGGATTGTGAGATCCCATATCGATTGGAGAGAGAGGAACGAGTGCCAGCGAGGACGTTGGGTCCTGAAGGTGGGTGGATTGTGAGATCCCACATCGATTAGAGAGAGAGGAACAAGTGTCAGCGAGGACGTTGGTTCCTGAAGATGGGTGGATTGTGAGATCCCACATCAGTTGTGGAGGAGAATGAAATATATTTTTATAAGGGTGTGGAAACCTCCCCTTAGTAAACACGTTTTAAAATCTTTGAGGGTAACCCCAAAAGAGAAAGCCCAAATAGGACAATATCTGTTAGTGGTGGGATCATTTATTGATTATCAATAGCATCATTACCCCCCCCGTATATAAAATGAATTCAACCCAGTGCAATATCTTTGCTATTGTTCATTTTATATTAGCCAAGTCTACTTGTTCACAGGGTTCCACTTGCTAATGGAGGTTCTCTAATAATTGAACAAACTGAGGCTCTAGTTTCCATTGATGTGAATGGAGGGCATGGGGTGTTCGGTCAAGAGACTTCGCAGGAGAAAGCTATTCTAGAGGTCAACCTTGCTGCTGCAAGACAGGTACGTTGGATCATGATATTTTACATCATGTCTGTATTCCACATGGCTGTAGTTTTCGGCCGAGCTCCACATGCCCACCATATAAAAGTGCACTCTGTTGGAATATCTTTTTTCTTCCAATTTCCTAACCTTTGCATTTTGCTAAGATATTTAGGTGTGTATTACAATTGCATGAGTGGAGGAGGGTAATGTTTGATAGCCTCTCTGGGTTTTTGGGTTGATATATATTTTGTTTGTAGTTATTGTTAACTATTAAGTTTTTGTATTGAAGTATGATTATGCTATCAACTCCCGTAAAATACCGGCCATTCTGAATATCTGATTGGCAACAAATACTTTCAGATAGCAAGGGAATTACGATTGAGAGATATTGGTGGAATAATTGTTGTAGATTTCATTGACATGGCAGACGAATGTAAGTTCATTTTCCTTGTTTAACTTTGCATATTTACGAAATATGTCAAGAGTCGCCTTGTGGATAAATCTGATCATTTTTCACTTCTCAGTTTTCTCTGGTCCTATGAGTATTTAACTGGTTGTTGTACTAAAGTGATAGGATGTGTTCTTCAGCTTGCGAAACCTCGAATTATTTGTATATAAAAGCAAATCTAGATCCTGTTGGTTGATTCTATTAAGGCATGAAACTTGCAATGAGTTATGAAATGAACTGAAACACTTGTCTAAGATATAGCCTGATACAATCACGGAAACTATTTGTGAGATTTCACATCAGTTGGGGAGGAGAACGAAACATTCTTTATAAGGGTGTGGAAACCTCTCCCTAGTAGATGCATTTTAAAAACCTTGAGGGAAAGCTCAAAGAGGACAATATCTACTAGTTGTGGGTTTGAGCTGTTACAAATGGTATCAGAGCTAGACACCGCCAGTGAGTAGGCTGAGCCTCGAAGGGGGTGGACACGAGGCGGTGTGCCAGCGTCCGAGAGGGGGGGGGGGGGGGG